AAAAAAAAAAAAAAGTAATTCAAAATGAAGTAATTCAAAGGAATTCAAAAAAACAAAGTGGTGAAACAAATGAGTAAATGGACAAAAAAGAAAAAAGTTGTACAATTTTATATTTAAAAAGCAGGAATTAGGAATTAAGACACTTTATTGTTTGTAAGAAGTCAGTCAAGGGTGAAAAAAAAGAAGTCAGTCAAACTTATAACCACACATTTATCTTTAATTAAAAACTAAACCAAAAAACATATTTTGGGGCAGCAGTGTTTTTGAACAAATTCATGAATAGTGGTATAATAAAAATACATTTAACTTTCTATAACCATTAGAGTTCAATATCAAATACATTAATATTGCAAAATTATTTCAAAGCTTTTATCAATGAATTCCCTTTTTTGATGGTCAGCTTTCTTCTAAAAATATATCTTCATGCAGGGGGATTTAGCTTAGTGGTGCTACCACTCACCTTACAAGTGCAAGGAACTGAGTTCAATCCTCCTTACCAAAAAAAAAAAAGGCTAGGAATTTAAAAATATATCTTTAACTGTATTCATTAACTTCTACTTCAATATTTAAACAGTCTCATCACCATATTATTAAGTAATGTGTTCTCTGAGATCAGATGAAAAAATTTCATGATATACCAAAACTTTTTGAATGATTTGTAATTCACATTGTAGCTATTTTTTCTTCATATTTCCCCCATATTTCTATAATTTCTCTGTATCACTTAAGGAATTGTCTAAAATACAGTTTTTAAAATGTAAGAAGTTTCATTAGGAACACATTTGAGAATATACTGATTTCATAAATGACCCGTTCTCTAGACAGCATTTCTAGTTTTATAAAAATTTTGATACCTTTGGACAGTATTACTTGCATTTGGCCATTTATATAATGAAGAGTTTTCTGCCAGAGTTCCCTTTACATGTTCATTATTAATTCCTGCACTGTGAATCCACTTATATTATTGATCCAACTGGGCTAAACCAATATATTAAGGCCCTGTCAAGTAATAAGATGTGGAGGCTAAAAGAACATGCCTTGGGCTCTAGTTAGGCCTATTTTGGAAAAATGTACTTTTCATTTGTACTGTGCCATTTCAGCTGAGAATAGTTGACACATGTTCTACAGCTTTTACACTCTATTTGGTATGGCATTGATACCGTTAAACAGTGCTTCTGTTACCTTGTGTGAGAATTTATTTCCAATCCCTAATGGAACCCCTTAGACTCCTACACATCTCACACCTAAACTTGTGTAATTTGCACTGCTGACCATGGCCTTTACCCTCAAGGAGTGAAGATCATTGCTCCTGCAGTTCATCTGTTTCCCATCTTAAAATTTTTTTTGGACAACAAAAAAGGATATGTTAGCCTAACCCTGAAATTAAATTATAAAGAGATTTAGAGAGATAAATGGGGGTCGTTTTAAGAAAATACTGTAGATATTTCATATTTTATAATGGGTTTAGTTTTCATGGAATAAAAAACAATCATTTCTATTTGCCCAGAATTTTCCCTGTACCTGCAGTCTATAAAATATTAACATTTTATTATTTACCTGACAAAGAATAGATGCATTTTAAATACCAGGATAGATAATTTTAGGGTACAGTAAAAAGTCTAAAAGCAAAGAGATTAGTAATTATTTAGTTATTTCTAATCCTAAAACTCAACATATCCAGAAGTAGCATTTTAATGACATTTACAAAAAGAATAGTTCACATTCATTTGCATAAGAAAACAAAATTATTGAGCAATGTTAAAGTATTGTTTATATTTTATCTTTCTTAAAACGACTTCCTTGTTACACAATATTTTGAATTTTTGTTTTTCATTCAGAACTGTGTTCTCTTTAAAAACATTAATTACTTTTTCCAAGTACCAAAAGTCTCATTCTTTCTTTCTTAAATATTAAAATCATATTAATTATGAAATCATTATTTTTGTCCAAATTCTCTGTTTTGATTTCTAAATTAATTGTTGTTAGTTGAGATACCTACAAAATTTATAAGCCTGTGAGTTGGTCATATGTCCATTTTATTATCTCTCATTGAGCTAAAAAGTTTCACATGTTTAAAGCTTGCTAGGTTTCTTTTCTTTTTTTTTCTTTTATTGAGTTTATTGGTACCTTTTAGGTATACAATACAGTTACATTCATCATTGGGATCTCGTACCTTTACATGACAGGTCTTGGTTCTCATTTTTTTCTCTTGTCCCTGCCTTCCCTTCACCTCCTCTTCCCCTCCCCATTTACAAACACTTTATTTCCATTTTTTCATTTTCTCATATGTTTTTCCCTATTACCTTTCCCCTGCCCTTCCCACTTTCCCTACACCTTTAGCCCTTTTCTCTAGTTTTCATAATACTGTGTTTAATTATGCCCACACGTCTTCTAAATGTAACTTTTAGCATTACTAAATAGTTCAGAGAACTTTGATCACTCTGTCGTCTTATTTGGTGTCTTATAATTTAAGCAGATTTAATTTTAGCTGTAAATTCCAGCATTCTAAACAGTTCTCAGAACTTCAACAAGAAGCAGCGGCATCTATAATAAACAGCTTGTTGACTAAAATGCAGAAGTTCCTCTTCCTCTGACAGAATTGTCTGTGAGGTCTGTATTTCTTGTCATGCTATCAATTATATACGTGGTTTCCATTTTTAAAATCGCAGGAGACAGATTTAGTACCTGAGAACCGTGATGAGATGCAAAAATTGGAGGCAGAGGACCAGAACAGAGTGCTCACAGCTATGTGAGGATACTGCTGACTCGGCCGTGATCTGGAAACTTTCTCTGTGTGGTTTCCATGTGGATTCCGCACAGAGGATTTCACTCTAGTGGACTAAGGGAATAGAGAAATCACTATGCTTTTTAACCTACTACATACGAGGAATCAACCTGTTTAATAGAAGTGGTATTTCACTTCCAGCCTTTAATAAATACTATATTGTTTCTATTTCTATAGTTACAGGTAGATTTTACCATGTTTAAAAAAGGGAAAGTACCAGAAAGGTTTGTGTAGCCAGTTTTTGTTGCTGTTGTTGCCATTGTCTTTTACATAAAAGTAGAACTAACATCTAAATTCTCAGAATAATAGTATTAATAACAGATGTGGTACAATATAATTGTAAGAAATGTTTTGCACATTAAAATATTTAATGCTAAAAGTCTGAGCTGTTCTTCAACTACAAAATGAGTCTTTACTCAGTGAAAGTGTACAATAATCAATTGATCTTATTGCCTGAAACAAGTACAAAACACGGGGTGGAGGGATGACAGCAATAACCCTAATTTATGTGACTATATTAATTTTTCATTAAATTTTTTGGACTGATCCTCATGGACCTCTTCTGATACTGAAATAAAAATAAAACACTAGTATTCCACAATAAAAAGAAAATTTGAAGGAAAAGGCAATCACTTTATAACCAGAACAGATTTTTTTTTCTGGTTTTATAAGTAATTTCCTCAAATTCTATATAGGGGGTTAGGACTAAAATTTTAATGCAATTTTTTATATATCAAGACAACATTCTTCTAGCTTGAAATTTTCACAAAAAGCAAAAGTTTTAGGTGATATTACATACATATATTGTTTGATAAATGCTGGCTGGGTTTGTTAAAATTATATTTATGGGCTGGGGATTTAGCTCAGTGGTTCCGAGCTTGCCTTGCAAGCACAAGGACCCGAGTTCGATCCCCAGTACCACAAGAAAAAAAAATTGCGTTTATAATACTTATTTGTCTGAAATCTGCATAAGCAAGTTGCAGGTATTTTTCTGTTTTTTGGGTGCTTCATTTCAAAATGCTCATATTTTATACAATTGGGATTTCAAGTGAAATCCCTAAAACAATTCCAGTGCTGACTCAATTTTTCTTTAGGAATGTGATTTTTTTCTTTGGGTGAGCATGGATTTGTTTCCTGAACACTTTATTAGGGATGACCTTTATGCATTGTTCACCTCATCTTTGGAATTCAAGTTGCTACTGTGGAAAAAATTTTTTAAAATTTTTATTTCCGACTTATACAATGAAGTGAATTTTAAGAGGCCAGACTGCTATTGGCATTACATAATATCTAAGTGCATAAGAATTAAGTTTTTTAAAAATGCACTTTTTAACTCATTTCACTGTTTAATTATTACTGAACCAGCATGATGGCTCTCCCTACTGAAGTCTCCCCTCCTCAACTTTAAATACGAGGATAAGTGAATTTCAACTAATTCTGAAGTTATACTTGATGGTGTCTTTGGATATATTTTGTGCTCTTTTTACCATGATTCCATTTAGGACCCATTTGGACCAATTGTGACTTTATTATATAAATAGATCTTATCATAAAGTCCAATTAGTATTTCACCATATTAGGTAAAAATATAACCCATTTCAGTTTAAATATCTGTAGAGAAAAGTAGCAAAGGATATGAGAGGAATCAGAGTAAATAGAGTTGTGATAATATCTTAAAGCTTCATTTTTATGTCAGTTTTAGAGTAACATTCTTCAGCGGCTCCTTATACAGCAAAGTATTGTATATTACAGCAACCTAACATACTAGATATTTGTAGTTAAAGAAATTTTCTTTTTATGTTATGTATTTGGACTTAAATATAAAATGTATTTTTAAGATTTAGAAATAGAATATGTGTTCGACACAGCTAAATATTGTCCAATATTCATCTTTACAACCAAAATAAATAATATTCATTGATATTACCCAACAGGAAGGATGAATGATGGATGGATAGATAGATGGATAATATATGTGAATGTATATATACTTTAAACATAAACCCACGCACAATTAAATATATTAAAACAAAAATTTTACAGTATTTACTAATAGCAGGTAGATGTGACTTCTGTGTATGTATACATATGGCTCCTCTCATTTTCCAGAAAGAATATAAGATCAAGCAAAAGTCTTCTGGGCTCTAGGAGATGACAGGATCACAAGATGGAAATAATATTTATATATATTAATACAGTCACATAAAATATATTAATATAGTCACATAAAAATTATTCCCAAATAAGAACATATATACTGGATTTTATATGACCCCAAATAAAATAATATGGTATTAAGCCAAATATTATTTCTGTATCTTCCATTACCCTTTTCAAATACCAACATTCTTTCACTTTCAGAAAATAATTTCCTGGGCTTCAGTTTAGCCACAAGAATGAATAATTATATTAAATGACATAAATGGCTCATTCTAGGACTAATATTCTGTTTCTATTATTTACATACAAAATATTTTAACAGATAGAATCCATGATACCAAATTCTTCTTTAGTATCATTATTGTCCATATTCTACATTGAAATTACACTGTAATATGGAGCTGTTTGACTTCTTAGTCTACAAAGACTTTAGCTGAACTCTTGTTATTTAAAAATATCTCTGTGATGGTTAGCTACCACTGTGGGAAGAAAATTTAAGCCTATAGATAAGAGAGTAAAAACAGAACATTACAAAAATCAGATAAAAGAATGTATTACATGCTCTTGACCTACTTACTAAAGATCCAAATTTTTCAGCAGAGGTGGTTTGGTGTGACATAAACTAGGTAAATAAATTATAGCAGATAATTATTAAAATTATGTATTTGCTTTAAATAAGCTATGCATTTTATATGCTATGTATTTAACATATTTGGACCATAAAAACTTGGCAGTATTTTTATAATTATTACTATAGCATTTTAATCACAGAAACAGAATAAATCCAATACCCAAATATTCCATATTTCTTTAGAAGATAAAAACAGAATTAAAATAGATGATGTGCAAAAATGCACATCCTATGCATCCCTTCCAAATCTATTCTTTATAGATTTGATAGAGGAAAATGGAAAAAAATAAAAGAGATGAGGAGAAAACGAACTAAAAGAAAAAAACTGAAAAGGTTTGCAAACTTTGGTACTTCCTTCTCTATTTTGTCATGCTGCTATTACAAAACTGCAAGGATTTAAAATATAGAATATAAAAAATTTGAGAGGTAACAGAATAACTAAGTACTTCACCTTATTTCATAAGATAGATTACATTGCCTGCTCTGAAAAACTGTAGGTAATCCCCTTAACTGTTTTTTTTTTTTTTTTTTTCTATTTTGCAAAATGTGCTCTCCTCAGGTGCTCAGAAGAGACATGAAAATAAGAGAATTTCTCTTTTTGGTTCTGTGCTGTCTCATTATCGTGTGGTTTCTACAGGATATGCGGAATTTTCAGCAATCATTCTCTTCAGTCTTCATACCTGCCTAGCACCTCTCACAACAGAGATATTTTCTTCAGTGCCACACTTTTATGGTGTAGACAACTGCAATGCATCTCCTACAGTGTGTGTGCCTTCCCAAGTGCCTGTTTCTGCAGCTTCTCCAGCAACAGGAGTAGTATATGGAAACTAATGACCCATTGTAGCTAGAAGATTTCCTTTTAGATAATTACATAGTTACTTAGCAGTATACCTTCAATAAGATGAATCTTGATCACTTTTCAAGTTCAGTGTTGAATAAGGCCAAAACAAAAAAGTAGCTAAAAACAGGTAAGGAAATATTTTTAGAGACTTCAGAGGGGTTATAACCCTACTTTGATACTTTGATCTTTGGACACCTAACCTCCAAAAGATTGAGAGAATAAATTTCTGTTGTTTTAAGTCACTCTGTGTAGGAAACTACTATAGGGGTTACCTTCCTCAACTTTATAAGGAATAGCTACAAAAACTTACAGCTAACATCATTCTTAATAATGGGAAAATAGATACTTCCTAATATTAAGAATAAAACAAAAATGTATTTTCTTATCTTTTGTTCAATGCTGTGCTCTAATTCTTTTCCTAAGGCCATGTGGAAAAACAAAAAATATATATGACATAATAGGAAGAAATTCAAATACCTTCATTTCCAATTGATATGAATGATGCTGTAGAAAAAATCCAAATCTACAAAAAAAAAAAGAAATAAACTTCTTCAAGTAATAAACAATATAGTATGATACAAGGTCAATTTATAAAAGTCAAAGTTTTTATATAACAACGAAAATGTAAATTAAAATGGCAATACCACTTGGAATAGGCCCAATTCTATCACATAAAGTACTTTAAAATAAAGCTAATAAAGTATATATTAGATTTGCATGTATAAAACATACAAAAGCACTCAAATAAGAAAATATGAAGATATCAGATGATCACTGATTTAAATAATACCATATGCCAGTTTGTTCCATATTTATTTATAGATTAAATTCAATCCCAGTCAAATTCTCAGCAAGCTATTTTGTAAATATTAATTAAATGTTCTTTTGTGGAAAGGGAAAAGCTAGAATAGCCATCATAATGTGGACAAAAGAACAAAGAATGGTTATGCACAATTCCTGATTTTGAGACTTACTAAAGATATACTATTCAAGATAGTACAGAATTGTTGAAAGAAAATACCTACAGATCTAAGGAAAAATGAGAAAGCATAGAAATTTAGCTACTAATATATAATAAACTGATTTTTTGCATATGTGTAGTAAATTCAATGGAAAATGTATAGATTTTTCAACAAATGGTACTAGAAAAAATTAGAAGTCCATCTTAAAAAAAGAACCAAAAGAAAGACCTTAAAATAACTGAAAATAGTAACTGTAAAGAATAACACTTTTAAAATATCTAGAAGAAAGTATCACAGAAAATCTACAAGAACTGTGGAAGTATTAGGTATGTATAGTGGATCTGAATAATTACATAAATGAATGTCAAGGATGAAAAGGGCATTGTTTTGGTTTTTGGTACCGGTGATTGAACTCAGGTCCTTGCATTTGCAAGGCAGGTGGTGAAACCACTGATCTAAATCCTAGGCTGAAAGTGTATTTTCAGTGATAGAGGTTGTAGATAAGAAGA